TTAACTGTTTATAGGGGCTATATCTCCCAGCAGCTCTGGCTTTGGAGAGACTGGCCTTCCTTTTTCGGGGGGCGGGGGGAGAAAGAGCAGGCCGAGGAGAAATAGGCTGGTGGAAAGCTGGAAAAGGGGAATCAAGGACTGGAGTGGAGAACTTCAGGGATTCCTGCTGCAGGACTGAAGTTCCAGGTAGAGGCTTTATTGTTTGGAGAATGTCCGGCGAGCCCTGGGAAGAAGGGCCTGGAACTCTTATTAGTTGACTAGCAAGCACTTCAAGGTCTTGCCAAGGACTTAAAGATCCCAGTTACTATTTCCTCCTCCAAAAACACCCCTTTGGATTTGCTTCTACATTCAGGTGCCTATTCTGCACAGTTAAGTGTTAGTGCAGTTGTTGGAACCCAGTGGGATTGGGAAGAGGTTGCCAGCCCTGAAGAGCCTTCAGCACTTGCCTCAAGTCTGCGTTGCACAATTACTCCACAAAGATCCCAAGACTTGTGGAGTATTCTGCTCACAAGGTTGCACTTTCATTTTTACTGCTTCACACTTAGCTACTAGTGCAGATCTATTCCGCTCCAAACCTTCTATTCACTGAACCTCTTGGAACTTAGCATTTAAGAGGTAAGGGGTTGATTTTGTGTATATAAATTTGCAATGGAACAATGGGATTAAGGTTTTTTCCTGTGAAGAAAAGGCATGTTATCTCTGCAGACACAAATTCACACTTTTGAGAACTGCAAAAACAAGTGTCTGTGATAATATCTTCTCGTTAGAAAAACTGCTCCAAATAATCTTACAGAAACCTCTGGAAGAACATGACATTGTGAATGGATTAATGTAATTTATTTACCAAAAAAAAAATTAAACATTGCATATAAAGCCTACATAATTTTTAAAAAATCCTTATTTCCTGATGAAAAGCCTTTGGACTATAAAGTAACTTAAATAGAAAACTATCTTTAGAAAGATTTTTCCTCCAAAAGCATTTTATTTTTAAAAATCTGATTTAAATTTTAAAATTCCCATTTTTTTGATATATATATTTTTTAAAATCATTGATTTTTATCCACCATGCTGCTAAGTTGCAATTCACCATTTCATGCTGAAATTCTTTGTTCAGGAATGGCACTGTCTTTTTTCTTCTGCGAGTCTAATAGCTGCAGCAGTTAAGTGATAAAGGAACAGCACTTGGAACCATTCTTCAAGTGTTGTTTGCTGCTCTGATCAAAATCTGACACCCCCACATGTCCCTGCCTTAAAGCAATAAAGACCTGGGGAATTCAATCATGGATCTCCCATATCACATCTGTTTTCACCCCTAAAAGGCAAAGCATTGTTTCCTAAAGTCTAGTTTGATTCAATTCTGCGAGACAAAGGATCCACAATTGATATGCAGACACTGTTGCAGGTTTCCCATGAGTCACTGCATTGGCAAGACAGAGATTTCAATATGTCAGCAAAAACCCTGAGTAAAGATTATGACAAAACAAACCCCTTCTTTGCTAAGGCAGCAGCACTGTGGTTCAATACTAGCTCATCAGGAAAGGCATTTAAGTCTTCCCTAGTCTGAATTTAATTACATGTAAATTAAAAAGAATCTTCCTTTTTCAATTACTTAATTAACATATTTTGATTGTCACTTGAAGATGGTTTCGTTAACATTTGCCTTCTAAGATTTAATTTTCAAATTGCCTACCAGTCATCTTAAGAAGGTAACATCCAAATAAATGAGATACTACACAAAACAGTTGCATTGAAGGAGTTTTCCTTTAATTTAGTTTAAATTTGTAACACGTGAACCTTTATATATGCAGACTGCTAGCATTTTTTTCAATCTAGAAGAATGAACCAGCGGACAGTTATATTTTTTACTCAAGAAAAAAGAAGCTAATAAAAGGGTCTACCATGCAATCTGATAACAAAAGGGGGGAATCTGATTCAGTCTTATGTCCGAAAATACACTTTCAACATAAGCAAATCTGCAAGTAATAGTTGCTCTTTAAAGATACGCACTCACCATGAACTGGTTCTGACAATTTATATGAGTCTTCATAAAACCATGGTATAACACTTTGCATCACTGGCGTCAGTGCAAAGATTCTGGTTTCTATTAAGCCACTGTTCCATTATGTTCAAACCAAGGAACTCTAGCTGAATGCTGGTTAAGAGCAGAAAGCCTTGAGATTAAAATGTTCTCCTATTGGTTTTAAAATGCTATCTTTTCTGATGCCAGATTTGCACTTTCTTCCTTTGCATAGAAACCAAACTATTTTCAAGCATAGAAAGCAGAAGGGCACATATCACACTGGAAAATGAGGAAGTGAACAAGGACCCAAACCTTGTGGCTGATATCCTGTCCCCATGTCCATCCTGACAACAATATTACAGGACTGAAGAACTTCGGTCACTTGCATCTGCGCAACTGGACTCTGACACACAAAAACTCTCGTTTCTGATGAAACTGATTAACAAAGCTACTATTCTAGCCATTTTAAAATCTGGAATGGCTAGCCTGTGGCTGTTCAGACACCAGTGGACTACAGCTTCCACGACCCCCAATGACTGGCCTCGCTTGTTAGGGCTGAAGAGCTACACAATTAGCCACTTCCATTTAAAATAATATCCAAACCAACACTTGGTGCACTCTCCACGTGCGGAGATCAATAGCAGGGTGGTGCAGCAGCCCTCATCTGGCATCTGGTGGCCTGTATTGCCTTTGCGCATGGTGACAGATAAGGACAAGGCGGCAAGGCTGCCACAGTGCGAACATGCTCAGGGCAAGGAAGTGCTACCCTGGCTGGCAGAGAGCACAGCAACGATGTTTTTGCCAGCATTTGAATTACAGTGGTACCTCAGGTTACATACGCTTCAGGTTACAGACTCCGCTAACCCAGAAATAATGCTTCAGCTTAAGAACTTTGCTTCAGGATGAGAACAGAAATCGTGCTTCAGCGGCGCAGCGGCAGCAAGAGGGCCCATTAGCTAAAGTGGTGCTTCAGGTTAAGAACAGTTTCAGGTTAAGAACGGACCTCCGGAACGAATTAAGTACTTAACCCGAGGTACCACTGTAATCTCCCCATGTCAATGTAGGTACACTCCTTTCTACCTCAATTACCGTGAGAGCAACTTAGTTTAAGGCCACGCACTGAGTTTGGTGGGAAAATGAAGGGGGAATTTACCAAATACAAATGCCAGTTATCCAATGTGAATGCAACAGTAATGAACGCCTGTGATCTTAGAAGCTGCATCAGAATGTTTTGATGGGAGCTGTAGTTCAAAGCATCTGGAAAGCACTAACCTGGGGAACAATCCTCTAGCATTCAAGAGCACTGAACAAACTGCATTCAATACTAATGTTTGAAAAGGCTTTCTATGAACAGATTCTGGTTTTGACTGCAATCTAAGAGCCAATACTCACACTATGTTTGCTGGTCTCCAAATGAATAATATTTGTTCATGAATGTAATTGTATAACCAGAAAATATGGCATGGAAATATGCATAAGTATACTCAATTTACCTACAAACCATGTTCCCTGGCACAGGGCTACAAACATCTACTCTACAATAAAAAGCTCTGTAGAAAGCAGACTGCACATCTTACCTAACCACAGGTCTTTCAAGATCATGAAAACAGGGCACTGTGTTGTAGGAATGGGCCCATGCTTGGAATACATAATGAGAAAACTGACCCTCAGAACCTTAAGCAAGGATGAGAATACAGAAGCCCCATAGTTTTATTAAGCTTTTTTTCCAGGAGATAGTCCCCCACACATCTGCAAAATGTGACATTTTCATCTAAATTCAACAGAGATTCTAGTGAACTGCAGGTATAAATGCTGCATTAGCCTTTACCCTTTATTCTAACAAAGATCTCAGTGGATTTCAGGAGGATGAGGTTCATACTTTGCTATAAAATGTCCAGATCTCACATTTAATAGCATTTCAGAAATGTGTCTGCCCCACATGCTTTAAACAGCCATCCTTCCACTTACCTGATAAGTCCCTGCCCCACAGACTCTGCAGTTTGCTGTGCAGTTTGACAATGTTGTCCAGCTGCCTGTTTACTTTCACATCTTGTACCATGGCTGGCACGTGACACACTGGGCAGGCTGTTCCACTGCTGTCACCCACACAATTTCTGCAAATCAGATATAAGCAAAAACATTTTCACACAGAGTACTGGCAACAGCTTTCAAGATAGGTGGCTTAAGAGAAGTCTTAAATAAGTACTGAAGTACTAATATGGCAAAGCAAGGCAATAATTGCCACCCTGAGCTCCTCTGGTAGGGAGGACAGCATATAAATTTAATAAATAAATGAATTATTTACATTTTGTCTGTAATGCTGGACAAGATAGCAGACATTTGGATACTTATAAGTTATAAACCAGCGAAAACCACATCTTTCCAGCTAGTAAGAGCCCAATAGCGAAAAGATCCTAATAAAATCTGACTAAATAACAGGTTGCAATAAATTATGAAAGCAATGATTTGAACATATTTCATGCACCTTTTAACAGATTTATCTGGCTACAGATTATCCAGCCTGTGACAATGGCCCTATGAAAATATAAGGCTTAATCATAGTTAAAATGTTAAAGTATGGATACCCAAACATGGTTAAGGGTCAAATACAAATTAGGATGATAATTCCTGGTTTGAAGTAGGCTTTAAGCATTACAACTCTACCAAGCATCCATCCAAGAAGAATGGTGTCCAAGAATATAATACAGTCATACCTTGGGATAAATGTGCTTCAAGTTACCATATTTTATGCTCTATAAGGCACACCTGACCATAAGGCGCACCTAGTTTTTAGAGGGGGAATTCAAGAAAAAAAATATTATTTAAAGGGAGTGATGAGAAGAGCCTGTATGCATCCCTGGCTCTGCTCAGCGCTCCCTTTCACCAGCCGCGTGGAGCTTGCAGGCCTTCTCCCTCCTTGGGGAAAAGCCCCCAAGAGCCACACTCCGCGTGGCTCTTTAAAGGGAGCACGGCTCTTGGGGGCTTTTGCGGGAGGTGGGGGAAGTGAGAGAGCCTCGCTCTGCCACTTCCCCCACCTCCCGCAAGAGCCGTGCGCTCTTTAATGGGAGCAGCTCAGGGAGCAGCCTGCCCGCTGGCTGGCGGGGGAAGCTGGCGGGGAAGCCCAATTCATTAACACTTAATTCTCCTGCTGAAATCATTCAGCACCTGCTTAATTCTCTTCCATGAGACTTTAAGTGCTTAATTTTGGCTTGATCATAGCCTAACAGTTTTGTGAGTACCTATCAGAATCGATCAAATATTTGCCTTAGCAATAAATCTTGCTCTATACCAGGATGGCTAACCTTTGGCCCTCCAGATATTATTGGACACCAACTCCTGTCAGACCCAGTTATTACGGCCAGTGGTCAGGGAAGATGACAGAAATATCTGGAGGGCACAAATTCCTCATCTTTGAGCTATACAATTTTTTGAGAATTAATTACCTTTCCTTTCTGTCTGAAGTTCTGGATAACTCATACATGTTGTGAGCTAGAAGGAGCAAATAATAGGCACACAAATGGATCCCTGGACTCAGAGAAATAACCATTTGTGGGGGGCAGAGTGGGAGTAAAATCACAAAAACTGATGACACAGGATATGGTCTAAAAGCACATGTGTCAAACACCTTGCAAAACAGGCCTGGGTCTGGTCAGTGCCTGGATCAGTGGCCACTTGGTTTGCCACCTTGGGTTCCATGACAGAAGAAAGGTGGGGTATAAATGGAAGAAAACAAACAACATCAACATGTTAAATTCTACTCAGTGCATTTGGTCAGATCTCAGGGACATCTTGCTGTATTCTGTACTACCAACAACAGCACATAAAGAACATTGTGTTCAGTCCTGCTAGACAAAGTCCAAGAACAACACAGTTACACTAATAAAGGACTAGAGAAAACTACAATGATAGTAAAGAGTAAATCATATACAAGAGGAAACTGAAGAAATGGAAATGTTGAACTTATAGGACACTGCAGATGGGCAGAAGAGAATACAAAGAGTGCTGAAACATCCATAAAAACATGGAAGAAGAACTGCCCTGAAACCTGGGGACACAGCAAGACAGAATGGGTTAAAATTGTACCAAAGAAAGTTTCTAATGACCACGGTGCAAAAAGAACAAACTGCACCAGCAGTTATCACCTTCTGCTTCCCAAGAGATCCACTTTTTATTTGGATTTTAAGCAGGATTTTCCTTTCTTTTTATAGGGCAAGGCCTGCCTCTTGAGGAAGTCTAGACAACACAAATGACCTCTGTTAGAGCCTGCTGGTACAACTACAGTGATTTTTAAAAGACCGATATTCAAGGGCATATTCAAATGTCAGAATGCACTAAATTTCAGGTGGCATGTCATGCATGCTAACCATAGGCAGCTTTCAGAAGTTACCTTTGACCAAACTGCAGCGCTGCAGGGACCAGCTTTGTTCAAGCCTCAGAAAAGGTTACCCAGTGCTCAGAGACCCCTTATGACCCAGCGGCTGCCGTTTTGTTGCTTCCACACACTTCTCCTCTTATACATCAGTCACCTCTTACTTTCCGCCCCTCTCCAGGCACATTAACAGTTTATGCCGCAGCAAAACTATTTTGGTCTGACCTGCAGCTGACTTGGCTTGGAAAACTAACTGCAGCTGACTTAACTACCCTAAGCAGTGTTCAGGGCATACTCCTGTGGAAGACTCGACTATCATTTGTATTCAATAAGAGGAAACAGCATAACAAGAGCTTTTGTTGTTGCTGCTACTGTTATATTTTCTCCTTTTCTGCCTTTTCTCCAAAGCAACCTTCTTCCAACCATGAGAAGAGCACACTAGAATCATTTCTTTAAGACACCTGGGGAACGAAAATCAGTCTCTTCTAAAGCAAGGCTGGATGATGGATCTTAGTTTGCTGATTCAAAAGAGATTTTTGAGGTCAGGAGTTCCTTCCTCCACTCTTTCCAGATGCTGGTCTCTCCCTTAAGAAGACAGCCAAACTACGGGTTAAGAAATTTATCTTGGGGATGATCAGACAACAGTTTTGCTTTCAGCTAAATGCCAATACTTGGGATTTGGAAAGAGTCTCCATGACACACACAGTGGGAAATACTGTATATCCATACGTCTCAGTTCCAAATCAACTCCCTTGCTTCAGCCATCTAGATTTCTTTTAGTGGACATGTGAGGATTAATACATCAGTAAATCAATTGACGAATAGTGTTAAGCAGGTAGTTTGCTGTTTTACACACACCTCAGTAGCCCCATCAGAAAGCAAAGGCAAAACTGCCGACTCTACTGGGACAGGGCCGTTGCTCAACCCCTGAAATCTGCAGGTAGGGGTAGGAAAGACTGCCTGACTGAAACCCTGGAGGGTCGCTGCTTCTCTGTATAAACTAGGAATGGGGAAACCTCAGTCCTCTGGGCCTATCTGGCCCTCAGGAGTCTCCCCAGGGCCACACTCTCTACTGGCCCCACTATGAACCCTTCTGGGGCGTCTTTGCCTGGCTGAAACTTTGCCCTTGAGCATCAATAATGCATTTTGCTTTCCTGGATAGAGGATGCAGATGAATGTGCAAGTGTGACGAGACTAGTGTACTATACAAAGGAAAATTTCACATTTATTGATCAGCCCACTTCTCTGCCCCTGCTCCTCCGTCCACTGGAAAGTGGCCCCCAGAAGGTTGCCTTGAACACAGTGTGCCCTGAAGGGGCTGAAAACATATTCCCTATACTTGGTACAGATACTTCTGAGCTAGATGGATCAATGCTAAAACTTTAAGTGCAAGGGAGCTTTCTATGCCTTACAAGAGCTTGATTCCACGCACACTTTAACTGAAGTATAGGCACTCTCTGTCCTGTATAATAAATGGAACCACACACAGATATTCACTCACTTCTGTGCAGCCCTTTGGACCCCTGGCAATGCCACTTGGAAGAGTGGGAAACCCTTGGGAGTGCCGTGCAATGCCAGGGAGCAGGGAAGAAATCAACTTTCTTCCCTCCCCCCACAAGTCTTTATTGGTTCCATGTGCCATTGTTTCATTTTAAGCAAAACATAAAACCCAGAGAGTCCTATGGCACCTTAGAGGCTAACAAATTTATTATAGCATAAGCTTTTGTGGATTCAAGTCTATTTTGTTAGTTGGATAGCATTTAAACCACCATACCATTTAAATTGTTATTGCTTGGGCTGTCCCTGGATTCCAAGGATAAAAGCCAAGACGACTGCTCAGTCTTCTATTATTCACACAAATATTTATATTTGCATGATATTTTCACCTATCAGCAATGGATTACAATAGTTTAAAATGTAATCTGTCTCCATACCAGTTACCTAATCCGGGTCTTTGTCACTGGAGCAAATCTATGAAAGCATGTTATAGTTCTACGACTTGACTAATTTCAACAATATTTAACTAGTCAAATGGCCAGTTTAAGACACACTCCTCCTGCCATCTCATATGGCACACTGTGTTCTCTCCCTCACTCAAGTCTCCAACACAAGGAGCCTTGGTAGAAGCAGTAAAGGAAGGAGAAAAGGTACAAAGTGAGTCAAGGGGATGTGAATGAAGAAGGAAGCAGGAGCCACTGTGGTGGGACATTCCAGGAAAGGTAAAAACTAGGTGGGGAGGTGGGGGAATTATACCATGAATGGCACTGGAGACTCTGTTAGATCAGGTGATAAGTCCAAGGGAATTGGGGAACTGAAGGAAAGCAGGAATTAAGCAGTTTGTATGGTGCGGATCACATGGAAAGGGGCAAGAGAACTTCAGTTAAAGAGTCTCAAGGAACTAGCACTGTGGAATATTTTAGAACTATTTCTGGAGGCATTTAAAAATAACTCAAGAATAGTGAGAAAACAGTTCAGTGGCAGTGTGCATGCTTCTCACAGATTTAGTCCCCAGAGATTCCTATTTAGAAGGAGTCCCAGGTAGCAGGACTGAGAAGAAAACCCCTGTCCAAGTTCAATGCGAGATGTTGCCAGCCTGGGCAAGATAGCTCAGCGGCCCACCTGAAAGTATGACAGCTTTTCATGCTTACATATGTTGAAACGTGTCAGACAATTTAAGGGGGACAACCACAGCAGCTAGAGGATATAAATCACATGGGTGGGGCTGCATAACCCAATCCCATCACCCCAGAATATAAACTCCCCTGCATTTACTTATGTTTGCATGCCTTTGGAAACCTATAACGCCTTTGGAAACTTATAATGCAGCCCATTGCTGTGCCACTTATGGAACCAGCAAAGCTTACAAACCCACACTAGTTTAAAGACATTGTAAAGGTATCCTCTCCTACTTTACCAATAAGGCCAAAAAGATGCTGCAGCAGCTGGAGTCACTTTGGAACCTTTCCACAAATGATGTGATGATAAATGTTGCCAGGTGTCTTATAGACAATGTTTAATTGCAACCTTTTAGTTTACTAGTTCTGGGGGCTCATTTAAACCACAACAAAAATGCATCTTACTGCTGTTTCTTTTAAAAGTCTCCATGGCTACAGCTTTCTACTAAAGGGGGATCTAACACAGTGATGGGCAGAAATGGCAAAATAAGATAAACAGAAGAAACACACAGGCCACATAAGCTCAATCTTCAGACAACACACTAAACCACGGTTTGTGCTAACTACACGGCTTATGTTCCAAGGTATGATTTGGGCTTTAAAAACCATACAGCAAGCACATGATTTAGATCTACTTGTTTGCTTTCAGTTTTTGCCTGTTCCTTCACTACAAACTCTAGAAATGGAGCACCCTGATAAGTCCTCCTATTTTACAGGCATGCAGGATACATGATGGTCTGCCAACGTCACAATTAACCTGCTGCCACTGAAGAGGAGGTGACCCAGTATTTGTGCTTGGTTACATACATGTAAAATGGAAGCAATGTTATGTGCAGTTACAGAAAAATGCAGCCTCTATGCTCTCTCCTAAAGCATCTGCTTACTGGTATAGGTTGTTTTAGAACCAGATTCTAAGTACGCAGTCTGTTCCAAACAGATAATCCAAACCTCAGGGAGATCTTATCCACCTGCAACGTTTTAAAGGTAAGCTAACAAAAACAGGGAAACTTCTTGCTGTACTGATCAGATAAAGTAATATAAGGCAGTCAGTTATTCTAATTACATTTCTTAGTCACTTTATACAAAAAAAGAAATGTGTCAAAGCATCAAAATAAAATCAGCTAAAAGCCAAATGTAAAGTGGCTCACAATACAAAATTTGTAAAATGAAGACAAAGCAATATAATAAAAAGACAAGTCCTAACCTGCTCCACCACAGGAGAAGCTAACTTAACATCCAAGAGCCTGGCACCTAAAAATTGACACTGATGGCACCATGAATGTTTCTCTGGCAATAGCATTCCATAGATGGGGTGCCACCACTGAAAAGGTCTATTCCCATACAGCCACACTCCCCACCTCACTCACACCCTGATGAAAACCACAGCATCTGGGCTGGTTCTTGTGGTTTGAGACAATCTTTAAGGGGCCTTAAGCTATGTAGGGCAAAACCATTTTTTAAAATGAACCAGAATTTCAAGGCCACATGTGCCTCCAACCACAGCAACAGATCCAGAAGTGCCCCCCAAGCTGTGCACCTGCTCCATTAGGGAGGAGTGCAACTGTTTCTAGAAAAGGTTGTGTCCCTTCAGGTCTAAGGAACTGCCCAGTAACAGTGCCTTAGTCTTTGTTGGATTGAGCCTCGGTTTACTGGCTCTTATTTAGTCCACAGGCAGACACCAGTCTAGTAATAATAATAATTAATTATTATTATTATAATAATAATAATTTATTCCCCAGCCGCTCTGGGTGGCTTCCAAAAAAATATTAAAATACTGTAATACATTAAAAACATCCATTGCCACACCTGCAAATGTAAAGGAGAAAAAAAGCTGCATGTCATCTGCACATTGATAACACACTCCAAATCTCTGCATGATCCCACTCAGCCATTTCATACAGATGCTAAACAATATGAAGCCTGGCCTCTGTGAAACCCCACTGCTTCACCCAAGCACCACTCTCTGGAAATGGCCATCCGAATAGGGCTGAAACCATCTCAAAACAGTGAACCTAGATCCACTTTCGGCAGCCTCTATAGGAGGTTGTGGGTATTGAAAGCTGGTGAAAGATCAAGGAGAATCAACAGAGGTCACTGTATGTGGTGACCTGGGCAGTTCATGCGCCAAAACTATGCCTAAACCCTGACTGAAGCTAATCAAGAAAATTATCAATTAAAATTATCAATCAAGCCTTATCCAAGAGAAGTTGGAGTGGTTTTTCATTATTGGATCAGCCTGTATTGCTTTAAAAGTATGCATGTTTTTATGCAACCCAGAATAGCTCTTAAAACAAACATGTCAATTATTTTGGTCTGAAAGTGGCCCAACTTCCCAGGCAACCACAAATATATATAATTCATTAGTCAACAGCAAACTATTGCACCTAATGTAAAACACTCATCCAACACTCATTACTGAGCCTAGCAGACTCCAAATATTAACTCCTAAGTAGGGTGAATTGATGTTTCCTGTACAATTATCCCACTTTTTAAAACAGCGTGGTTTATAAAAGCTTAAAATAAGCAATAAACACCATGTGACAAAGAAACAAAAAATACCAAAGACAGAAGAGCAGATCATTTTAAAACAGAAGCAAGAACACAGAAAGCAGAGGCTGGATGGCCATCTGTCATGGATCCTTTACTTGAGATTCCTGCACTGCAAGACCCTTCAAACTCTATGATTCTATGACTAAAAGCAGACTGAAGAAGAAAGGATCTTCAACATTCATCAATAAGCCAGAAGAGGGGTTATTGCACCACAGCATAATATGGAATTACTTACAGGCATAAGACATGTTCACAGCCTCCTATGTTCACAGGTTTCTTCAAAATGTCCCTACTGTCAAGGAAAGTATATATATATTACGTTCCTGTCCTAATTATCAGAATCACATAATTCCTAATAAACTTCTGGTATAAAGCCTATAGCTTTTTATTTGTTTTGTGGCGTTGCTTTACATCTGCCTTTCCATTCCCCCTTCTGATTTTCCTATGGTAACAGGACAAATTTTAAAGGAAGGCTTAGAATTAGAGCTCATGCTTTGAACGCAGAAAGGTCCCAGGTTCGGTTCTTGGCATCTCCAAGTAAAACCCGCCCTGAGTGGCTGAGGAAAAGTATTATTATAATAATTGTTGTTGTTGTACCCAGAGGGAAGTGGCCACTCACAGCAGACAGAAGCAGGCTAGATAGACTAGGGCTGCCATACGTCCTGGATATTACCGGGATTTCAAAGGCAGAAATGACGTCCAGGGGAAATTTCTGAAATGTGGTGCTTTGTCCTGGATCTTAGGCAAGTCAATGGAACAACAACTCAACTTTCAGAGTGTCCTGGTTTTCCCTTTTTGAAATAAGGCAACCCTAAGATAGACAGATATGTCTGACTCAGTGTACAGCAATTATGTTATTATTTTATCTGTAAGGCGGGAAAGGCAGAGTATAAATACATCTGTAATGGTGATGATTTATCCAGCTTGATTTATTACACACAAGCTAGCTTTACCATCATCACCACCACCACCACCATATGAGAAAGGGCCTTTTCTGTGATGGCTCCCTGTTTGTGGAATGCTCTTCCCAGAGAGGGCCTTTAATTATCTGCAGCCTTTAGAAGTGGGTGGGATGTTTTTAATGTATTGTGCTTTTTCTTCTCTTTCTTGATTTTAATATATCCATGGAGGAGGGGTTGCTTTTGATTTTAAGTTGTTCTGGCTTGCTTTGGGAAAGATAAAAGCAACCGACAAATTTAATACATAACAATAAATAGCAGTAACACCACAGCACCTTTATGAGGAAAGTGTTTGACAGGTTCCTGCCCCGAGAGACTTACAATTCAAAACAGAGGAGACTTGGGGTGAGCTGGTGAAGGAGGGCAAGAAGAAATGGGGGGAGACAGCAGGAATCTTTCAAGAGTGGTTTGAACTAAGGTGGTCCCACTGGGCATGAAGAGCCACCCTTCTCCCCCCCAGCCCCGCAGCACGTGCGCAGGGACACTTAGAGATACACACACACACACACACACACACACACACACATCATGCTGTGGGGGTGGTTGTTTTTCTTTGTTATTATGCTTTATATTTTTGTGTTTTTATAAACCCTCCTGTGATATAATAATAATAAACACACACCGTATATATTTACACACACACATATATATACATATCTATATGTGTATATATTTATATATATACATGGCTATATACATGCCCGCCCGCCCGCCCCCGCCCCCCCGGGACAGCTGATTACCACTGGGAGCAGCTGAGGGCCTCGGCCAGCCTCGCCAGGGCCGCGCCGGTCTCCTTCCACCGGCGGCCTGGCGGCTCGGCCTCCATGCGTCCCTCGGGCTGGTTCCCGGAGCGCCCCCGCAGCGCCGCGGCCCTCATGGCTCGCCCTCGCCGCGCCGCACCACAGGAGCCCGCCGCCGCTTCGAATGCCGCCGGCTCCGCCCCTCGCCAAGCGCGCCAAGCGCGGAGGGAAAGGCGCGCGCCAAGCCGCCGCCGCCCAAGCGGCCTTTCCGGGTGGAGGCGCCGCCCTCCGGGGAAGAGAGCCGGGAAAGTCTTTGGCGGCCCGGAAGCCCCTTCGCTCCGCCTTGGAGGCCTCTCTGCGCCCCAGGCCGGGAGCCCTCTGCGCGGGGCGGGGCAGCGCCACCTCGGGAGTCCCCCTTCCCGGGCATCTGGACGGGGTGCCTCGGGGGTGGGATTGCAGCCCCGTGGCTCCAGCAGGCGGGCGGGCAGAGGGTGCTGAAGGACGCGCAGCGCCAGCCCCTCTTTTCGTTGTTAAAAAGTGTGGCGCTCGCCCTGGCCACTTAGTGGTGAGTACCGACACCTATGATTTATCCAGGGGGAAAAGCACTGGTGAGGATGAAGCCAAGTGATAGATATGTTTTGGCAAAAAGCAGATCTAGACTTTTGTAACAGAGCTCTGCTGGTAGGTAAGTGGATGTTCTGCCTCCCTCGGTTTGATTCAGAGGTTTCCTGTGGCAGAGGCATGAGAATCCAACATTAAAGTAACCTGGAAGACTGCAGAAATAATTCTAAGTCGGATAATGCGAAACCAGTTTTTAACTAAACAGAAAAGACAAAAGAAAACAACATCTAGAGTTCAATTAGTATAAAATCAAGGTCTGAAATCAAACAGCCATATGTGAAAAAGTGTTAAAACAGAACATGCCCCATTATATAATCAAGTGGTATACAAATTTTATTTTATTTTCTCCAAAGAATTATTCCAAACAACAATAATTCATCCCCACTTTGCCATTTATGCATCCAGATTGTCTCCCACTTCTCTGACCCATATCCATCCTGCCATGCAAACTTAAATTTGAGCCCTAGAACAGGAGGGAAATGTACAAGCTGAGCATGTGAATGCAAAACTAGCCAATTTGCATCAGTAATATTGATCTGCATGACTTCTTTTGAGGCCACGGTGTTAATACTGTAAGCTTAATGTACGTAAAATATTGCAGTTGTATTTGGAATACTGTAAAGAGAAGTTTACCTTAAGCAAGAGGCTCCATGCTAGGTGAAAGCGGAAGGCTGGTGTTTTTTCTATTTCAGTGAGCTAAACTACCTGATGACACATCGCTGCAGTTCTCACATATAAGAGAGGAAACCTGAGAAGTCAGAGATGGCCAGTAGTAGCAGCAGCCGAGAAGCTCTGCAATGATGAACATTGCATCTCTGGCATCAGAGAGAGGAAAGTTTACTGAAGTGCATAAAGGACTGAATCACATTACATGGTTGTAGTGTTACTTTATTACTTTAGTTACATATAAACATTACATGAACAGTTGTAAGATTATTCTGCAGTAAAGCTTTGAAACTAATTCTTTGGGTGTAAAGCTCATTTGTTTCGACACAAGGTCCAAATTAGGAATTCCTCTGAAAAACTATTGACACAGGGCTGAAGCTGTGGGGTGGCGGAGAGGGCAATGAAATGTGTGTTCAAAATGTGGTCAGTCCCTAAGCCTGATGTTTGAAAAACCTGTGGAATTCAGTAGTATTAACATGTTCCTAAAGAGGCTTCAAGTACTTCTGTAGCTTCTATTCTTCCCCCCATCATTTATCACATTCTTCCTGACACAGATATTTCACTGGCCATTGTTTTCGTTCAATAACGTTTCAGGGTTCAACCCATTCTACTGCTTTTTATTGCTTGCTGTTTTTAAAAAGATACCTCTGCAGAAATCTGCACACACACCCCTTCTGTAATTACTGGAGCACATAAAGTGGTTATAGCAGGAATTTATCACTTTCAGGTAGAAATACTCTGAGCCAAATAAAAGATAGAATAGGGATGCCAAAAGCAATTTATAACAGGCTCACTGACATTTCATGTTGTGAAGCCTTAACCAGTGAATAAGCACCAAGTCATAAATCTCTACGCAAACGTGATTAGAGCAAGCAAGTTATTCTTGGAGGGAGCCTTATCATAAATATATTCTCTGATGCAAAGCAGCAAAATTTGGTTGACAAAAGTCATTAAAAACAGCTGTCAGTAAAATGTACAACCATTCTCTCTTTTAAATCCTTTGCCATGCCACCAGCTGTTTGGGACTAAGGTAAATTGTTCATTTTGGTAAAAGAGCACTGGCAACATTGCACCTCCTTCATATTTTATAAAGAGCTTAGTGGTATTCTCAAGTGTTATTTTTGGTGTGTGTATATCAAGTGTGCAGTGGGGAATCATTGCTCCATTTGGGGCTAATCGTTAACAGCAAAGTTTGTAGCTGAAAACCTCCTTCCATTGAATTGACTCATAGTATTGTGCACATTTCACACAGGGCTGCTCCCAACATAATGTTGGCAGCATATAGAAGCCAATGTGAAGTGACTTCCATTCTCTGGGCCTATGTGGGTTTTCTTCCGTTGTGGGTGTTATGAGGCCCAGCCCTGGTATCAGAAAAGTGGGGCAGCCACCTCCGGCAACAAATGCCGGGTGGCTGACAGCGATGGCACAGTGTTGGAGGACAGAGCTGTATCTGCCACACGGCCTGCCCCTTAAACTAGCCAGATGTGCTCTGGTGCTATGGAGAACCCTGACCCATTGCCAGGGTTGAAGTAAGATTTAACTGAAAGTACAAACAGCTTCCCTTATAAACCCAGTGACAGTGGATGGTTTGTGTGCCAACTTGTAAGCTGGATGTCTCCATCGACATATAAGACCAAGAACATACAAACATTCAGGTTGTAGAAATGCTACAGTAAATCACCATCAAAAGAACAACTATGACAATAAAAAAGCTGGGTTTTCACACATGACGGTGTTGAAGGAAACACTGATTCTGATGTGCATTCAAAGTAACACATTTGTCATTTCAGTTTTATTCATGCCATGCTCTACCTTCAAAAGGCCAAACAGAGGCTTACTTCTGTCTAGGTGATCTAGATTCTGCCTAGGTTAAGCTTCCTTGCCTTTAGCACTGAATCCAGTTTCTTGACCATTCTCCTGCTATTTATCCAAAAAGAAAGTTAACATTGGATAACATGGTGTTTGAACTGTGCCTGGGATACAGTGAATTGGAGTTAATTGTGAGGAAACAGATCAGGTAATGCACATTGGATGAAGACATTCCTACCCCTTCCTGGTATGTATTAGTGACGTAAGAAACTGAAACAACCTCACTGCTTTTATTGGGTACATAGCCTACAGTAAGTAACATGAGAGGTTATCCTGAACTACCCAGATTCATCTTGTTATTTGCTGTCCCAAAGAGCCAGTACTCCCTCCCCAACATATACAATACTTACTTGAGAACAAGCACCATTGTATAATTTCTGTCCAAAGTAAACATGCACAAGTTTGCGCTGCTAGTTTCTTAACCATTTTGCTGTACCAGCTATGTGGTCAGTCATCTGATATGTCTTCATCACTGGTGTTACTTTAATTCTCTGATTTAGAAGATGAACAGGAGGTGAAAGTACAAGTAGAAAGTATTAAAATGCCCCTCCTTCCTACATACTTTTTTTTTTTTTAAAAGTCTCTCCTGTGATAAATGGTAACAGGCTGGTGGATGCTATTTCATAGTTCCGCTGAGAAATATAGTGAATGTGACTTCTCAATGATTAGCGATGGTGTGTGGCTGAAGCTTCCCAAACCTTCTTGGGCTTGTCTGGACAGGAGTATTTATCACAGGAACCAATCCTAAGAAAGCAATCTTGAGATGACAATGCTGTATCAGGCAGTCTCAGCTTAGATGGGAAACATGGGAACAAGGAAACGACCAAGGAAATGCAGCATTTTTTAAGAGATGCTAATGGTTTCCTTTTTTAAATAAAGCATTAAATATTTGCAATCAATCGCAGGCATGTAAACAAATAAAAAGAAACACCCACGAATATTTTCCCATTATTATTGCAGTTTCCCCCATGTGATCTATACTATTTTCTTACGCACAGCTGCCTTTATCATCTGTGTCACACAAGTAGCACCTGTAAGAAGTGTTGGATCCTTGCATTTTGTGGCACTAGTAGTTTTGCTATCAATGAAACTCTGCATATCCTCATACAGACAGTATTTCATCATTGTAAATCTAAGCAGCGTGGCCACCTCTTACCCAGAGTTTCCTCCAGTCTCTTAGGGGCCCAATATGTTGTATATACGATTTTTCTGTGGGATTTTTTAAAATTAAAATTGGAGTGGAAGCCAGCATTTCCCCCATTGCTTATTCCCACAAGTTCCGGAATCATTGGCTCCCTTCCCCCCAAGTCCTCCTGGGACCTTCTCAATAGCGGATCCCAATTTGTGGAAAGCCCTCCCTGGGAAAGTCTATCTCCCTCCCTCATTGTTAACATTCAGGAGAAATTTAAGAACATTCCTATTCACCTAAACATTGGGTGTCAGAAGTATACAGCTCCTGGCAACCTTTTAATTATTAGCTGTGAGGATATTTGATTGTTTTTAAATGTTTCCAGGTTTTTAAACTGCTTTTGCATTGTTTGGCTGTTTTGTGGTTTGCCACTCCTGTACTGCTTTGGGAGGAAGAGTGGGATAGAAATTTTACAAATAAATAGTTACATATTTCCCTCAATATCACTTACATTAAAGCTTGCTAAATTGGTGTTTGCCATTACTGTCCTCCAACAGAGCCAGAACTACAGATGTTTCTGCAACTGGCAACACAGCAGGTCTGGATAATTTTTATAGTAAATGCCTCAGCTGGATACACTGCCATTGCATTTGAGCTGTGAAACCATATCATCTCCATATCTCTTGCCCAATTAGCAGCTTTAGCTTGCAATCCTGAATATGTTTACCTGGGAATAAGTATCAGTGAACTACTGCACTCCAGGTCTTTTTGACTACAACTCCCAACATCCCTCACCATTGGTCATGCTGGCTGAGGCAGGTGGAAACTGTAGTCCAAAACATCTGGAGGGCCCCAAGTGGGTTGAGGAAGAATGCCCCAGAGCATTCTGAAATACTGGCCTGGATCAGGGAATGGATGAGGCCATCCCACCTGAGAAAATGGAAAGGTGTTGCCCTGCCTGGTGCCTGCTCCACTTGCCCCTCCTGCTGAAGCCTTGCTTACTGGGGCTGCCTCGGGGCGCTGCGTGGACGCTTCAGACCTGACTCAGGAGTGGAGCAGCTGCCACTGCTACCCACGTCCCAGCCCCAAACGCCAGCCCAGGCGTGGCTTCCCTCAATGAGGGAAGTATAGTGGGGGTGCCTGGTTGCGCCCCCTCAAAACATGAGCCCGGGGCAATGCCCCCCCCATGTTACACTACATGGCTACAGCTTCTGGGTTCCAACGAGATCTTGTGGGAGCCTAGCAAGATCGCACAGAGACTTTCAGAGGCCTCACACGAGCTTCCCAGGCCCCAGCAAGCAGGGCTCTCCTGAGAGCTCCCCAGACCCTAGGAGCTGCTGCGTCAGTGCACCTGGTTGTTAACCAGAAGGTTGGTGGTTGAAGCCCACCTAGGAACAGCTGTGGGCAGGATTCTGGCATTGCAGGGGGTAGGACTAGATGACCCTTGGGGTCCCTTCTAATTCAACAGTGCTATGATTCTATGATTCCACCTTTTCAATATGTGATTGAGGCCGGCTGGCGTGGCAACCAATGTGTCTGCTCTTGCTGCTGTGCCTCATTTAGCCCTGAGGTTTGGGCTTTCCTGTATGTCTACAACTATCTTGATTTCAGCCAGAATGGCATTGGAAATTACCGTAGGTTGCCAATTTGGTTGAAGTTTTCTTTTCAAACCAGGGGAAACCACCAGTGGAGGGGGTGAATTGTATTAAGCATAAGGTCAGTAAAGAGACATGACTCCAACTTGACCTGGAGTAAATGCTTAAGCTATTTATTGGCTTGGGCGTTGTGTTGATTCAAGTACCTACATTCATATTAGTTGCATAATTATAACATATTCTTCAATTTTATTACCTTAACTATGAAAATGTGTTACTTTTATGACACCTTATATGTACTGAGCACTGTACACTAGCTAAAATCAATTAATAAAATTAATAAAATGTAGTTATAACACAATAAAAAGCTTTGCCTGCAGGCTTACAATCTAAACACATTCCCATTTTAAGTACTTCCCAGTGCAATCCTATACATGTCTTCTCAAAAGTAACCCCTGTTCAATTCCATGGGAATTACTCTAGGTAAGTGCATATAGCACTGCAGCCTCTGATTTTGTAATACTTGTTTTCACACATCAATATTTTTACATTTTCTATTGTATCAATAAAATAGGAAAGCACAAAGTATGTATTATAGAGTAGCATAAAATCAAAATTCTGAATTCTGGAAGTTGTCTTATAATTATAATTAATTAATATAAGAAGAGACTTGTTTCAGGACTTGATTTTACTCCTTCAAGC